GTTCCGAATATGACAAAACATGCAAATTAGACCACCATAAGAAACATGGAAGCACTGGATGGCTGTTTCATCCAAGTATGGGAGTGTTATGCCTGCACGTAAACACGTCAAATTGATATACTTGAACTATTGCGAGTTTACCTAGTCAGAAAACTAGAGCGAGGATCGAGGATCCGGCGACACGACATGTTACTCAAATCCGATTATCCCAACCCCCATATTGAGTAAAAGAAGACAAGACTTGATATAAAGTAGAACCTGTACTCTACAAGCATCCAGAAGAGAATCAGGATCCCGAACTAGGGATCCGGGACCGGATTCTGGTCCTGGTCATAAAATGTTACCCACAATGCGTATTTATACATTTTGGTCGAATAGGAAACAGCATCGGTGTCTGTGACATTGACAGTTAAGACGACCAATATGAAGTAACATTTGAAGTGACATTGATAGTCAGGACAACCAATAAGAAACAACATTGAAGTACGTGACACTGATATCTAGAACGACCATAAAATTGACCAGTAAGAATTAACCAATAGGAATAGACCAATAATATGAATATCCCAACAGGCAGTTCTCAGCAGCTTCTATATAAACATACTGTAGTGAACGAGAATAGAGGTGGGGCAATCGGATTGTATTTAACGAAAATTACAGAGTTACTCAGTAAAATCGAAAAACCATATCGTAAATCGTTAATTTGCAAAATATCAGTTCATCATATCGAACTGGACTGTTCCTGTTGCCAAACATCAATCCATTGTCACTATTCATGCGTTTCATACAAATTCCATTGTTTTCTAACTCTTCCTTTCTTGATCTTCTCCCATCTTCTGCTGCCAGACATTACGTTGATACTCACGTCATATACTACTTATAAGTAGCTCACACCGCAATACTACTATTAACTTACATTTATCAAGTACCTATTTCTTGTTGTGTTTTTTCTTTCACAATGAAGACAACTATCCACCAGTACAATTAAGACGACCACCAAAAGGTCAGAAAACTGGACAGTCAATTCCATCATTTCGTGATAGTTTCCTTAGTCCTGAAGGTATGTCGATGCCTTCGACACCACGATATGACAATACTTACGGTGTTTATTATGATGATAAAACAGGCAAATACATTGAAGCATTGGATCGTGAACATTTCAAACGATTATCACCAGAACGTATATCAAGACCACGTTCTAAGCATACAACTGCAACAAGTCGAAGTTCCGGTTATTATGGGGCTACTGGTAAGTGATTATGTCATCAGATTAATGCGTTGATCGGATGTTTTATTTAAACAAAGAATACTCAACGGTCTGAGCTGAAATTTCAAAAGTATGATGTTAGCAGTTCATAAGTATCGTATTCGATAGAGTCTGTAGAAGCCTAGACAAGGGGACTGAAGACATTTCATTCAGTTAGAAGCTTCTTCAAAATATCTAGTGAAATAAAAGGTGATGTGTCACGTTTAGATTAGATGACTAACTATGTTGTTACCATATCATCTAGTATGCTTCTAGAATTGTTTGCAGCAGAAGTGCGGAGAGATCAAGGAATGTGAGTAGAGTTAGTTGTGGAGATAAGAGAGATAATAGGGGGTGTAGGAAGGATTTGATTTTGACCAATTTGGTCTCGCGTGCTGTTATGAAAGTCATCAATGGTTAGAGACCTTGAACGACATGGCTCAAAATCGTTTGCAATAGCGCAAGTGCATCCATTCGTTGTGCTCTCTCTCTCAAATCCTAATCTTCTGGATTCGTCAACACCTCTACCTTTGTCCTTTTAACCTTATCTCACTGAATCATACTTCTTGAATAATATCCTGAAACCCTAGTCTTCTCCATTACCGCTAATACTTCTTCTATCGCAACCACTATGTGATTTGAAATGTGAATTGCGTCTCTGTGCTAATGTGGTATGGCAACCTGAACTTATGTACATACGTACGAAGTTCTACGTTGCAACTAACTAACTAACTGACTAACTAACTAACGCTTCTAGAAGTTTCTAGATGGACAGGGTCATTTGAAAACTTATGAATATGCTCTGTTGTTTGTGCATAGGCTGACCTTGTTAGTCAGTTAGCTGTAAAGTTGCCATATCACATTAGCACAGAGATATCGAATTCAAATCCTATAGTAGTAGAGGAAGTAGAAGTATGAGCAGTAATGGTACAGATTAGGGTTCGAAGATATTATTCGAGAAGTAGAATCTAGCCAAAATAAACTTGCAAAGATAGAGATAAAGGTGATCAGGAACTCGGAAGGTTAGAATTTGACAGAACACAAAGAATGGTTGCAACTGCACCAGCGTAGACAATTTTGAGCCATGTCATTCAGGGTCTCTAACCAATTAGAACTATCATCTCACGGACCCCAACCAAGTAGTCTAAATTTACCAATAGGACTCAGTCCACTTGTCAGTGATCTCATGGATTTCTGCCGTGTTTTGGTTTGGCCGCCTCTAGCTTTCTTCCAACCTACTCCTACACCACAAAACATAGCTCATCGAGGCAGTCGGTGGTTGGACATTCGTAACACATGTCCCAACCACCTCAACTGATGAAGTTTCAATACTTCATCTATTGATCTACTACACTTACCTAGGACGTGTTTCCTAACAACAGCATTGCTTGCTCGGTTGTCCTATGATACGCGAACAATGCCTCGAAGACATCTATAATCTTTACTCTTACTAGCCATGTTTCTTAGCGATCAAGTAGGACGGAGAGAACTGCTGCGCAGCAAAAACTCGTCCTTTATAATGAGAGCCATTTGATATTGAGATTAAACAACTTTCAAATAACAATACTGTGAAATGTTAGATTAGCATTGTATGTGAAAATAATCACTGTTCTACATTTGTTAGATCTTTTACTAGACCGTGATGTCTGACTTCAATTTAGACGAATAATTGAATATGCTTTAAAATAAATCTTTCCTTGAATTCCCGTCTATCACGCTCAGACAAACCCTCTTTGTGCGACGGCGGTAAAAAGAAGCCAACTATGGATTTATTTGGATAAGTTTATTGTAAGCAATCGTTCATGAAGACTGACATAAGAACAAAAAGCGTAAAAGCAAAGTAAAGCGAAGTAGAAAAGCCGAATGATTCGAGGAAGGGAGAAAATTGAAATTTATCGAATAAACTACTTTTATTATGGTTTGAGTAGATTGTATAGTTTAACAATAAAATATTCGATATTTTAAACTCAACCGTCAAATTAGTTTATTTTTTCAGTTGAAATGTTTATAATAATATTTTTTTCCTTAAATTAAAAAATATTTGTTTATACTACTTGGCTAATCATTTCAGTAGTAACTGATGCAAGTAAGTTGTATTTATTTTAACAATCATTATTCACATCATTATCGGATTTTGGTGAAGATTACAAACTTTTCATCGTTTAAAACACGAACTAATGTTACGCTAAACCATCATTGAAAAGCAGAGAGCACTGGATATGTGATTCATCTTAATATGTGACTCCTCAGAAGTACATATCTACGACTAACTTCAAAAATGCAGCTGCTGGAGTACAGTGCTACTGGTGTGTAGCGTCTCTGATATAAAAAAATGTTATGCACTAACCTCCGAACCAACTACTTTAACGAGTAGGGTACATTGGTGCCAGGGAGAAATGTGTTTGGCCAACGAATCACATACACCGATATTTATATATATAGATATTCGCTCCTCTCCCATAGAATATGAATCCATTTCCTGTCCAATGATATACAATCATTGTGGTGGTGTTTCGTTCTCTGAGCTGGTTGTTTTGGTTGTGGAGCTTTCATTGTTCTTCTGAACAACATCATCAGCATGAACTTCAGATAGAAGTGAAGCATTAGAATCTCTCCACGTTTGACCTGTAGCTTGTTCTGCTAACCTCGATCTTGATTGGTTGTTGTTGACCTTTGACCAACCAATCAAGATCGAGGTTAGCAGAACAAGCTACAGGTCAAACGTGGAGAGATTCTAATGCTTCACTTCTATCTGAAGTTCATGCTGATGATGTTGTTCAGAAGAACAATGAAAGCTCCACAACCAAAACAACCAGCTCAGAGAACGAAACACCACCACAATCATCCACCTGAGCTACAAATTTTCTCCACCATCTCAAGATATACAATCATATACAACATTGAATTTTGAATCCGTATTCCAAAGTTTAAAAGTTCACATGAATGTTTACTAGTGATGAGTCACATATTCGGATGAAACAAGTATCTAATGCTGTTCGATTTCACTGGTGATCTAACTCTAAGATCAGTTCATAATTTTAGAAAAATATGACTATTTGTATCATTGTTCTTCATAAGTCGTTCATTTTACTGATGAGTTTTTTTGTAAATCTTATTCTAATATTTCGTATATCATTCTCGTTTCATCTAACGCATTCATACATTGATATTTCCGCCTAAAATGTTTTGTGTTTGAAATCAAGTTCAATCATGTTTATTCATTGTTGAAATGACCTCTGAAATTGAGATGTTACCACTGTCTAGGGGAATTAGGTTTTTCCATACTAGGGCGAAACGACAGTTCAGTGCCTTGAAGTTTCAAATAGTGGTCTAACAAGGATCGATTCATGAAACTCAGTAATTTTCACAAAGCTACGATGATAAACATAAAATTGTCATCATTAGTGACTGGCTTCGTGAAGAAATTCTCGGAGTTGGAGTCAGAAACCGTTTTAAGTGAAATTCGACCCTGTCGGGTGTGAGGCAGTTACCTACCGAAGACAATAGATGACAGTCGTGCACTACCGTGGACTGATTCGAGTTAGACATTAACGTCGTTAAATATTGGCTCAGTAGTCTAGGGGTTAAGTGTTTGTGCGCAAGACTGATGGTATTAGGTTCGACTCCCGCGAACGGAGGTCATGGATGCACACTGTCACTGATGAGTAGGACGGAATGACTGTCTACTGATTATAAGTTTTCAATGGTGGTCTTATAGTGTGTCAATTTACGGCGTGTTCTTAAGCTCGGTAATTAACTCGTCCAGGCAATCGTTACTAAATAGCGTCAGCCGGTTTATAAATCAGAACGTGAACTCGTAGTGATGAATACGTTTATTTGGGACACACCACAAAGGGAAGCGGAGAAACAGTGAATAAAACGAATGAAGCGACGTGAATTGGAGAAGGCTGTTGAGCCAACTCCCAGGATTACAATGCGAACGAACAGTCAAAGCGCGTTGGAGAAGGCTAGTGAGCCAACTCCAAGAGATAGAACGTGACTAAGAATATATAGTCAGACAAATATAAGACAGACATGCGAAAAGCGAAATAGGCACACATGAATAAAAGTGACGAATAGTTGACAAGGTCAAATGACAAGTGGGACACGTCATATGAGCTCATACAAACCAGACAATAATAATAAGAACGAATGGTACATATAAATTGTTGCAATACAAATGGCTTGGTTAAATAAATCAATCGAAAGGGCCTAACCAAATTAAATGTAAGCGAACTGGAATATATGTGGAGGCAGTACAGTGTAATAGTGACTTCAGTAAAACTCAGTAATCTCCTCTAACTCTATAAATCAAATCGATACATAATAGTACAGAGGGTTTATTGAGATTAGTTGATCATTTCTTGATATCACAGACTGATTTCAATTAGACGGTCACTGAAAACCAGGCATTTCTGCAATGATTCTATCATCTTATGGCACTCCTCAACCAATCAAATACACACATGATTCATGATTCTACACGGTTGTTATAAACTCTATCGGTCGAAATTGTTTTATTAAAATCTTCTCAACAATAAACATGAAATTGCTAGGTAGTTAGCAAGATCAATAGACTAGTTTACATCCAACATAAAGTAACTGAATGTTTTGTTTTTAACAACATCCAGGTGAAAAGAAACTAACATTTCATGCTAACTTTTGTTTTTCACGGTTCAATCTATTTGTATAGGTAAATTTGAATCGGTTTATATTATTTGAAATGTATTCATTTTAATGTAACCAGTGTAAATTTGATAATTCATCCAACCAGGATTCGAACCCTGGACCTTCGGTCTTGTGCGCTAACGCCTAACCTCTTGACCACTGAGCCAGTATCTAACGGTGTTAACGTCTAACCTGATCGATTCACGGAGTTGTGGAGTTTGTCCTGGGTTCGAATTCTGCGGGGTGCAGGAATCATGGATACGCTCTGCTGATGAGTCCCATACCAGGACGAAACGGCCATACAGTGCTTCCAGGTTTCTAATGGTGGTCTAACATTGACCGATTCATGGTTTCGAAATATGCAACTTCATTAATTGTATGCATGGAATATTGAAGCCATTACTTATCTACTTACTTACTACCGCTACCCCTAGTGGAGCATAGGCCACCGACCAGTATTCTTTAACCTACTCTGCCCTCAGCGTCCCTTCCCGGTTCTGTCCAATTGTTGTTTATTCTTCTCATGTCTGTCTCCATTTCTCGGCGTGTTGTATTCCTTGACCTTGAGTATTTCAAGTGAGGGCTTTTCTTGTGACGCAGTTAGTTGTTTTCCTCAATGTGTGTCTCATCCGCTTCCAGCGCTTCTTCCTGATTTCCTCCTTCACTGGAATCTGGTTTGTTCTCTCATACAGTAGATTGTTGCTAATGGTGTCTGATCAACGGATCCTCAGTATCTTGTGTAGACAAGTGTTAATAAACACTTGTATCTTCTGGATGATGTCTTTGGAAGTTCTCCAAGTTTCCACTCCATACAGTAGAACTGCCTTGACATTCGCATTGAAAATTCTGACTTTGGTGTTGGTTGAAAGTTGTTCTTAGTTCCAATTATTGTTCAGTTCTAGGAATGCAGACTGATCGATGCCTCCACATCTGTATCAGATCCACGTCGCTCAGATATGTAAAGGTTTCTACATCTTCCAAAGACTCACCATTAAATGTGATTTGGTTGGTGCATGTTGTCTTATATTGGAGAATTTTGCTTAAATCCATTGCCTTCAGGATTTTTAATCATAGTGTGGTTTAATAACCAACTAACTGACCAATTTTTAACTGCATTGAATATTATCTAATAATACATTAACGATTTGTTATGATGCGGTGATTCCGTGAACCATGAACCCCTCCCCACAAACTGAAAACTAGAGCGAGAAGGTATGATCAGAAAAGAAAATCTATTTGGCTGCCGAATGATATCTACAAACACTCGTCTATGTGTACATTTCATGCCGTTAGCAAATGAAGTCATTAACTGACCAATGACATGCATTCATCCATCAGGACACTTTCAAATGATCATCATATTGGCCTTTTATTTAGTCACTTTTGATTGGCTCATACTAGTTAGTTATGTCTGAAATGTTGAGGAATGTAACACTGTTTTTAGACGACATAACCTTTACTAGTCAGTTTGATTCACTTTAGAAAAAAACTGTTATTCCTGACTAGAGTTCTTCATGTCATTGATTTGATCCACATAGGAAGCACTAGTTGTTATAAAACTTTATGTTAGCTATTACTAATAAATACCAGCAACCTAATTCACGGATTTTTGTCTCATGGCTTCAATTGTTCAGTAACTGTTATAAGGTAGCTATGTAGCTTTTCGAAATAATATCGATTGACCGAATTGTTACTGATGGTGTCTGGTCAACGAATCCGAAGTATTTTACGTAGACGACCTCGAATACTGTCCTCAAATCTACAATCTATCAGAACATATCACCGTTAGATGAAGTTGTTTATGGGGGTTGAGTACAGAAGGAATAAAGGAGTAATAAGCTTTACAGATAATGCCTATTTATATAGTTAGATCGAATAGGGAACAACGTTGAAGTCTGTGACATTGATAGTTAGGACAACCATAATATTGACCAATAGGAACTGACCAATAGAATTAGACTGTTAAGATATTTGATGAATATCCTAACAGTAACTAACATTGGGTTCTTAATAATTTAGTAACCTAATCATAAAGCTACCTCTTGAAGACCAGATTTTATTGTTCAATAACCAAACAAGAGGAGCTCACATAAAGTATTGATTTATTAGTTAGGATTATTCAATATCCCAGTTGCATTTTCTGTCAAGAGAGTGGGTTGTTTATAGATACTCAGCTTGTTTATTCCTAACTTATATTTCAGTCAATCAGTATTGTTAAACATTATTGGTTATGTGGAATAGTGGTTCTATCATATAATTGATATTTCCAGTACTTGTCTATTTTTATATTACTAAGATCATGAATCAATCATTGTTAGATCACCGTTCGAAACCTGGAAGCGCTGGACGTCCGTTTTGTTCTAGTATGGGACTATTCATTAGCAGTGTGTATCCATGACTTCTGCTACTTGCAGGTGCATGAACACCTAACTTGTGGACTACAGGGCCGGCATCCAACAGTATTAATGTCCTAACTTTGATCAATCTAAGGATTTCGCGTGAGCTCATCCATTTGTCTTCAAAAGTTACAGGGTTGAGCTCCAATAGTTACGTCTTCTCACTAGAACTCCGAGAATTCTTTCACGAAGCTAGTCACTGTTGCACAGATTGTATGATATTTTATGATAGATGTTAGGATAGTCATCAAATACCTTGAGAGAATTATTTTTTGTAAGTCTAATTCCATTTGTCAATTCCTATTGGTCAATATTATGGTTGTCCTGACTATCAGTGTCATTTACCACCTTCAATGTTGTTCCCTATTCGATCTAACTGTATAAATACGCATTGTCTGAAACGTTTTATGAACCGGACCTGAACCTGGATCCCTAGTCCGGGATCCTTGGCCTCTTCTGGACTCGGACCTCATACTATCTGGATGCTTGTAGAATACATGTTCTACTACATATCAAGTCTTCTTCTTTTACTCAATGTAGGGGTGGGTGGGTTGGGACACTCGGATTAGATTAGCATGTCGTGTCGCCGGATTCTCGTTCTCGTTTACTGACTAAGGGTAAACTCTCGTACTAGTTCAAGCATGTCAAATTGACATGTTTACATGCATGCATAACAATAGAGTAATGGAGACTGGTCTGTTTATCACTGAATACATGAATGATCAACCAATTTTTCTATTTGTGTGTTTATCTGTCTGTTTGTTTGTTTGTTACAAAGGTTCAAAGCATAGTTTAATCATCAGTACAAAACGTCGTACATTAAGCGGTCTAACTGGTACTCATCCATCGAAACATCGTTCTAGTTCAATGAATACATTGTGGTTTGGTGATCACCCAGTACCATCAGAACGTACACTATCACCATCTACACCGATTCGGCTATCAAATATACAAATACAAGCACAAGCTGAAATTGATCGTCGTCGACACAGATCTTCATCCTCCTATGGACATAGTTTAGATAGAAAATCTCAGTATAGTACAACAGGTTGGACAGAAAGTTGTTTGTCTAAAGGTTTCAATGATTTAAATAATCATGGTTATCAAGGTATTGGATATACATATGATAATCGTGGACGTTTAATACATGGTGGTGCATGTTTACCAGAACGTTCAGCTAGTCGTAAACGTCGATTGTTAGATGGTCATGAAAGTTTATCAAGAATATGGATACCACAAGGTACTGAACGTTATCCAGCGAAACAAATATCAGATAAAACAGCTAGTTTACTGACGAGTAAGTTTTTATTTCTTTAATAAATATACGTTGTTAATTTGTTTACTGTTAATCGACGGACGAGTCTACTGCGCAACAGTTCGCTCCGTCCAATTATACGGATGGGAAACATGGGCAGCAAGAGTAGGGGGGATATTCGTAGGCCACTAGAATTCTTTCATAGGTGTCTTCGAAGCATCGCTTGATCATCCAAGAATCACGGAGTAAGCAATGCTAGTGTTAAGAAAAGAGCACTACGTAAGGATGGCAAATAAAATGATGAAGTAGTGAATCTCCATCAGTTGAGAATGATGGAACATGTGTAATGTACGACCATGTTTTGTGATGTAAGGAGGGAGACTGGGAGAAATTAACGGGCAGCCAAACCAAAACATGGCAAAAATGAGTTAATTTATTGACTACTTGAATGAGCCATATTATTAGGTGTAGTCTACTTGGTGGGGGCCCGCGAGACATTCATAACCAGTGGTTAGATACTTTGAATGTCATGACTGAAAATCGGTTGTACATGTGCAGATGCATCTACTCTTTTTCTTCTATCAAATTCTAGTCGTCTGAATATCCCTCATGACGGTATTTTCTCTTTTAAATATACCTCACTGGATTATACATTTGGAACCAAAATCCTTAAATCCTAATCTTATTCATTACTGCTAATACTATCGTATTTGAATCGATAGTTCGATCTGTGTGTTTTCTTGGTGTATGGCAACTGATGTGCATACGTATGTACCAAGTTCTACGTTGTAGCTAACTTATTTATTCTGTTAAAGAATTTTTGGATGAATGTATGTTCAATTCATGGGATGAAGAAAAATCTTTCTAAACTGATTAATTAGTTAATAAAGCGAAAACCTACTTAAATATTATTTAGTAGTTAAAAATGTGTTCATAAAATATTTAAGAGTGGAGAGATATCCCATATATTCATTCAACCATGAAAACTATGATTATCAGGAATGATTTGGATTTCAATATTCATTGATTGCCTTCTCACAGTTTGGGGTGTTCGTTTTTGAAATCGAAAGTATCAAAACCAACTGTCCATTTGAGGTTTAAACCAGGTTAGTTGATGTAAACGATCCACCTAGGGAAGTTGGAAAAACTTAATTAACTCCAAACCATCGGTGACCATGGTCTCCAGAGTGCTGATTTAACGAATGGCGTGTGAACCCGACAGTAGCTGCTACCTCCCGACCGTAGCTGCTACCCCGACCGTAACTGCTACCTTGACGTGGTGGTCGGGCTTGCCTATTGTGATGACCCAACCGAGCTATATTGGCTGGAACTTATGTTCCTAAAAGTTCTTTCATGCCAGGCAGGTCGATTAGAGAACGATGAAACTAAAAGCAGCTACTCAAGGTTTGAGGGGTGTGACAGCAGTAAGGTGTTTCCCTCGAACAACCAGCATCTGCAGCGATACTGCTTTCTGACAAGGAAGGAAGGGTTAGAAAAGGTCGACCCTAAAAATGTCACAACTCACCCTACCTCACGGATTTCCGTCTTCGGCGATAAAGGGTGCCCGTTAAGGGCTTTTAAGAGCGGAGCTAATACTCAAAAGACCCTTCATAAAAAGGGCGTGCGTGAGCGGCCTCAAGCAGTTGTCCCTTGGGCTCTGCGGTCACGCACCCAGGTCGTTAAGACCAACACTAATCTACATTCCTTTTCAGTTTCCTCAAGACTGACTAACTGACTGACTGACTGTGTGAACCTATTGTTGGTCACCACTTTGGTTTAGGCACATTGATCTGTTTCGGTTTAGTTATATATATATGGACAGCAGTACTCCTACCCACTCAAGCAAAAAATTTAGCTTCCCTTTTTATATAGACTACTTACTATTCATCAATTCATACATTTCAATAGTCTGATACTTATACATTATTATTATTATTATTCATTGCTTTCTATCTCTCTCTCTCATTCATTTTAGATCGTGATGAACGACAAACTCAATTGGATAATTCAGCGATGGCTTTCGCCTTGCGAAATTTCACTGTGCCTAAAATTCGGTGAGCTCAAACAATCTATAACAATAATAATTAATTCCAATTACCATCTCTCCTATTATCTGTCTATCTATCTGTCTATCTGTCTATCTATCTATCTGTCTGTCTATCTATCTATCTCTAGACAGAAACGGGTTTCCAATAAATCGCACCGGAATCATGATGATCATAATACTACCCCTATGACTATGACTATGACTAATCCTACTCACACTACTACTCCTATTACTAACGATAATGATAGTCATCACAATCATGATAATCATAATAATAATCATAATAATACTCTTAATCATAATGGTGAAAATCATCACACTCGATCTGTAACAACACATCCTACTGTATTGCGTAACAAATTAGACAATACTAAGAAATTACACTGCACACCATCCATCTTGAATTGTTGTATGCGATAAATGCCAATCTTACTCCTTTATGCTTTATTTATAATAATTAATTGTTATTAATACTATTATTATTATTATTACTATTATTATTATGATTACTATATATATATTTATACCTTATTTTTCAATGGAACCTGATTTGTTTCAATTTTCAATTGATTTTTCGTTTCAAATTTATTTTTATTTTTCAATAATTAAATAATTTATTTTAATAATTGAGTGAAATTAAAATTTTTTACAAAAAACTCATACATATATTTATATATATAAAAACTAAACAAAGACTAATCAGCAGTGTAACCCCCTTCATGTTTTTTTTTGTTATTTTTGGCTGTGAACCATGTAACCGCAAATTGTGTTTAGTTGGGACTTGTTGAGTTTTTTTCCATTTCGGACTTCAATTTTACCCAGTTCTTATATGTTGGTGTGTGTGCGCGGGCGCGCGCGCGAGGTTTGCCTTCAAGCATATCATTCAAGCTTATTTTTACTTATTTTACAAAAAAAATTATAAGTAGTCTATTTATTTATCCGCATCTGTTTTTTTAAAAAAAATAATTTGTTTTTATATCGAGACTCTGAGTTGTTTGCTGTTCATAATGCCCTATAGCAAGAGTTTTTTTTCGATAAATTTTATACTACTGATATTATTATTCACAGTAGTATCAGTAATAATAACAACAATTTTAATTAGTCTGCCAGCTGATGTATTTTTTTGTACTCATGCGTGTGTGTGTGTGTGTGTGTGTGAATAAAATGTCAACAACTTGTAGATAGATTTCAATTTCATTTTTTGTTTAAAAAATTAGTGTTGAGAAGACTGAGGCAGGCGAGGAAGATTGTGTTATTATGCAAATTTACACTCTGAGTGTAAATTAAAAACGAAAACATTACATTGAACACTCTATTTGCACACCATCTTTGAGTTATGACTTCCAACGCTCCATCCTTCTTCCATTCCTGTTGTTGTTGCTTCCTTTACTTCCTGTTGGTACTCTATTTATTTGTTGCTTTTGCTCCATTTGCTTTCCGTTTTCCTCTTCTGACCTTGCGAATTCTTCTTTCACGTCTCTTCTCATACTACTACTTATATCGTTCGTATAAGTAGCACACACAACAGTGTATGTTCAATGTGTTTAATGTTTTCAATGATTGAAAGAAGAAACTAGAATAGAAATAACAAAATTTTATTTTAATAGTCATTGTGTGTGTGTGTGATAGAATAATTATTTTTAAATATTCTAATATGAACATTGAAGAAAATGAATATTGTTTATTCCCAAAACTTTTGTTTTAAATATCGAAAATAAACTTTATTGAAATTATGAATTGGGCAGTGTTAAAGCAGCACTATTAGAAAACTGGAGGTACTAAATGACCGTTTTGTCCTTGTCTGAGATTCATCAGTTACATATTTTTGAAACCATGAATCGATCAAACTTAGACCACCATTAGAAACCTGGAAGCACTGGACGGCTGTTTCGTCCTGGTATGGGACCACAGGACCTTCGCTATTGTGCGCGAACGCCCTAACCGTTAGACCACTGAGCCGGTATCCAACGGTGTTAATGTCTAACTTGATCAAACTCACGGAGTTGCGCAACCTCATACACAGTCTTCGGTAAACTCTGCCTACACCCGAACAGGTTGAACTTCACTGGTCAGATCTTCCCGCTAGAACTCGGAGAAGATTCCTCACGGATCTAGTCACTAGTGAGCACAGGTAATTTGCATAACGGGGTTGTGAAGATTGTTAAGTTACACATTTTTGAAACCATGAATCGATCAATGTTAGACCACCATTATAAACCTGGAAGCACTGGACGGCCGTTTCGTCCTGGTATGGGACTTCTCAGCAGTGCGCATCCACGACTCCTTCGGTATTGTACGCGAACGCCCTAACCGTTAGACCACCAAGCCGATATCCAACGGTCCTCCAGTGATTCCAGGTTTCTAATGGTGGTCTAACATTGATCGATTCATGGTTTCAAAAATATGCAACTTAACAATCTTCACAACCCCGTAATGCAGATTCATCAGTGAAACTGCACGTCCATGATATATGTGCGTGGGAATCAAAAGCCGATAGCTTCCATCTATCGTTGAATGCTTAACCTCTACTCCATTGAGCTTGCATCTAACTTCAGTCAATTCATGATATTGCGTAACCTGACTTATTGTCTTCGGTGAGCACTGCCTCACCCCCACACAAGGGTTGAACCCTACTGGTGACGGCTTCTCACTAGAACTCTGAGAATTTCCTGACGACGCTAGTCGGTAAATGAGCACATGATAGGGTTGTGGATATTATTGTTCTCATCTAATGGTTCCAGGTTTTTAATGGTGATCTAACAATGGTCGATTCTTGAATTCAGTGGCATTCAATGGCATCTTCAAAACGCTATGATTATGTTCAATGTTCATAGAGATTTACTGGTTAAACGATGATTTTGTAGTAGTTAACATAATTGGTTTTCAACTAATACATCACGAATTCAAACATTCCCGTGTCTACTTCAGTTTAAGGTTGTTGTGAAAAACAGCGATCATCACATGAATGGTATAGTATAACTCAAAGTTAAATACATAAATCGCTACTTGGTTAGTTAGTTTGAGGCTGATGCCAGGAAATGGTAATTACCTTGAGTCTGATGATTCTTGATATTGATAAACAAGGCAGAACTGCATATATCAAGTAAAACGAATTATCGCAATTGCATTTAAACCAAAGAACTCTATCGTACTGATTAAGTATTTATAGTTGAATGGTTTACGTTCAGCTACACGACACTATGTGCGTACAAGGAGAGTATGTAGATTAACGTGATTGCAAAGAGTTGTAAACGAAAAAGTGTGATTAAGCCAATCAATGGTCAGGCAGCTAGTTGACTTACACAACAACATTCAACTAACACATTATCTACTTCAATTTCGGTAGCTCAATACTATCGATGTCATAGTCTGTACACGAGTAAAGTATGACTTAAAACGTTTTACATAAAATGAAACTTTGTATATAAATTATATTTTTAAAGAATCATCAAGGAAGCGATGACTGAGACACAATTGTTTGATGGTATTACGAATAGACTTGAGAGTGGTAATCTATCGGAGGTTTAAAAAAACCCATACAGGTTTGTATAGCGGATTTTCATATGACAAGACGACCCAATATAAATAATATAGGAAAGGAATCGAACCTGTAATCCAATGATTCAGAGTTGATTATTTTAACTCCGTATGTGTTGTTACATTACTTACTTACTTACGCCTGTTACCCCCAATAGAGCATAGACCGCTCAACAGTTTTCTCCAACCAACTCTGTCCTGGGCTTCACTTCTCAATTCTGTCCAATTTTTGTTCATTCCTCTCATATCTTTCTCTATTTCTCGGTGTAATGTGTTCCTTGTCTTTCCCCTTTTCCTTTTGCCTTGAGGGTTCCATGTGACGGCTTGTCTTGTGACGCAGTTAGGTGCTTTTCGTAGTGTGTGTCCTATCCACTTACACCGCTTCTTCCTCCACTGCAATCTGGTTTTTCTTCTCCCACAGTAGGTTGTTGCTGATAGTGTCTGGCCAACGAATCCTAAGTATTTGCGTAGACAGCTGTTAATAAACACTTGTATCTTCTGGATGATGGCTTTGGTAGTTCTCCAAGTTTCCTCTCCATACAGTAGAACTGTCTTGACATTGGTATTGAAAATCCTGATTTTCGTGTTGATTGATATTTGTTTGGAGTTGTTTATTTTTTCTGGTCAGCGTTTTTTTGGTGGGATGGTGTCACCAACCCCATGATCAACCCTACCCCTTTTACCGGGCTTGAAACCGGCAGTAGCCGCGAAATTTCTACAGGCGGAGTTACGCATGGATAAATGGGAGCCAAAAAGAAGGAATTATTCTATCGAAAAATATATACTACTTAAATTCATTTCAGTCTACATAAACTTGACTGATTAGTCGAATAGATTGTTTTATGTTTTGTTAAATTTCGAGTTAAGTTCATTAGTTATTTACTTAAAGTAGTCTGTTTAATTTGTTTCACTTGTGAACTTATTCGATTTGAAAAAAAGAAGGTATTAGGGTGTACCATAAAGCTCCTTAGTTATTTGAGTTACTTTACAATGGCAGTGCTCATCTATGACTCCTGCTACTAGCAGGAATCGGACGCAGGACCTTTGGTCTTGTGCGTGAACGCCTCACCTCTGAAGCAGTGAGCATGCATCCAACAGTTCTAATGTTTAACTCTGGTCAATCTAAGGTTTTGCCAAACATTGCTCACTGCTTCGGTAGTTATTGCCTTTAATCGATAGATTTGACTTGTAGTGGCAATGTTTTTAAAAGCTTTATGACAGGAAATTTGGATTCGTATTTACGCAGGCGAAAGTGGAGACAATTTTAGTACACTTTTGTAAAAATTTATTGTGATGGTTTTAAAAAAGGACTGTCCAGTTGAAAATAAATTTACTTTGATTGTTAAATCGGCCAGACAGTATGGTGTACTGTTACGGTTATGAGGGCGGCTGCCCACACCGTGTAAGCGTACTTCTTGAGGAAACTAGAAAGGAATGCAGATTAGCGATGGTCTATGCCACCTGGTATGTGACCACAGAGCCCAACGGAAAACTATTAAGGCCGGTCACGAATGTCACTTTTATGCGAAGATTTTAAAGTGTTAGCTCCACTCTTGTCTCAAAGGACTTACCGCTGGAAACGTAAATTCATGAGTTTAGGTGAGATGTGACATTTTTAGGGTTGACCTTTCGTGTGAGAAGACAGCATCGCTGCAGACGCTGGTTATCCGAGGCGGGAAACACCTTACTGCTGTCACGCCACTCTACAATCAGCAGTACGACTTCACCCTCAGACCTTAAGTAGCTGCTTTTAGTCTCATCGTTCTCCAGTCGACCTGCCTGGCATGATAGAACCTACAGGAACATATGTTCCAGTCAACAAAGCTCTGTTGGGCCATCACTACGAGCAAGCTCGACCACCACATCAAGATAGCGGCTACGGTCAGCTTGTTAAATAAGTCAAAATGTAATAAAATTAAACATGTTCTTCAGCAGATTGATTGTATTTTTGTATGTTTCTTTAAC